TATCGATAAACACTTATTTCAAAATATTGATTTTTCGTTAACAATAAAACAAAAATGCAATTAAAAATATACCTATGCAAAGTTAAATGTGTGTAGTTGTCTTCTATAAATTAATATTTCACTGTTTAGGAAAACAAATGTTTTGATGAAGATTAATCTACGGTACACTTGAAAAATTTGTTGCTAATGTATACAATGATAACACACGCGCAAAATAATTTTATTAATTTGTAAAGATTTCTAAATTATTTATTCGTAAATAATTCAATAATCAAATAAATGAAATAAAAAAATATTACATAAAAATATTTGTTATTCTCTCTACACATACGTGACTGGTTTGAAAAGTTTTGAGTTTAACATAGAAACGAGAACAATTTTTTTCTTCTTAGAAAAGCGTACATATTTCTATATATTTTTCAGCTACTCTAAATTTACCTCAAAAATCTTCATGTTTATGCCCCCCCCCTCCGCGACACACACACACATATAGCATACATTACAGATGATACGTGAATCACATGGGGACAAAAAAGATATATGACGTAAGATATATGATCAAAGATACTATATTATCATGATAAAATTAAATTCAGCGCGATAATCTGTTAAGATAGTAAACAAATAAATGAGGAAAGTTTATGAAAAAAAAGAAAAAAATGGTGGGCCTTGCACAAGGAAAAAAAAATGAGAATTGTATTCCATCACGTAACCGGCATTTTCTGACATTGCACACATAAGTGAACAATGCGATTTGTCCTGGTTTTTTTTTTTTTCATTTTCTTTTTCTTTGTTCCACGTAAGGAAAGTTTCTTCGCATACCTTTATGTACACATAACCATGCGCATATATACATGTATGTGAATATGTATATATATGTGTATAGTATATATGTATGTATAATCTATATATGGTATATGTATTAATACTTACTGTAATTGCGAAGGTAAATTAATCGTAAAATGACTTCCAAGATTGGTCCATCGTCCGGTGTATTTCAGGCAAAAATAGATCATATTTGCTTTAGTGTCCGGAAGTTCCATAAATGTATATATGGCACGATCGCCCGACATCGAAATCCAAACGTTCTTGAGTACATTAACATCCCGTTCACAATCACTATCATCATTCGACCAACGTAATGATAAGTTACTTTCGAGGCCGGTCCCGAATAACTCTATCAAATATTCCGAAATAAAGGAATGTGTTTTCTGGTTAAACACATCTCGTACATTTAACACGTTTATTGCTGTCACGTTAGGATTATTCGAATTCACTGTACCTAACAATGTATTACCTCTCGTTAATCGAATAATGAATAATAGAAAAAGTACCGGTGTATAATGTCGAGCAAGAAGCTGCGCCATCGTGCGACTAACTCGACTCTGACAATTTCACTCGTCGACTTTTACTGTGCTCTATTTATAACCTTCAAGAATCGGCGCCACGCATGCGCAAGTTACGAAACTATATTTGCAATATCTTGTGATATTATCTGCGTATAACTCTCAGTAATAGAGATGACTTATCTTTTATCTCAATCTTTGTTTTACAAATAATCACAATAATCAACTTTTAATAAGAAAATAAAATAATATAATATTAAATGCGTGCGATAGGTCAATAAAGCAAATCTACTCCTTTGTAATTTGCAAAAGTTTATTTTCTTTAGTTAGCTTAGAATCGACCAATCAACGTTGATATTTATTATCCAATCAGATGTTACGAAAATGTACTTAAGTTCACTTCATACTTTCGATCTATGATTCGAGTGATCTTGACAACCCATCGATCGTAATGTAAGAATACGGCATAAAGTATAATCGGAAACTATAAACGTGTGGAAAATCTTTTCCATTAATTTCGATCCAATTTATTCCCAAATTTAGAAGTAGGAAAGTGTTTTACATTATTCTAATTAAATAACGAAGCGTAGATTGATACACGAACATATAGATAATGATTTAAATTTGAATTATTCGGAAAGATCCGATCGAGATGTATCCAACTGTTTCAACAACTGGACCGCAAGATCAAAATGGAGGAACTGACGGATAGATCGATAATGCTCAGTAATTTTAGTGAATATCATTGATCACTTTGCTTGTCAACGTGATTGTAAGTAAATTGCTTATATATATTTCTATTATTGAAAGTAACGAGAAATGTTTATTTTTATTGATTGACAGTTCGTATTCGTACATCAATATGCGCGCGAAATTTGTTTTTCGGATTAAAAATCTTAAACTTTTTTTTCATTTTAGATCTCGTTTTAATGATAAGAAAATTTGTTTGGTGATTAAGTTTTGTAAATATATTATTCCCAACTTAAATTTTCATAATATTGGAAAATATTTATAATAAATCTATTTGCCTTTATTTTGGATCAGAGCATGGAATGGATGGATCCTGTCCACTCCTCTTTCCATCTTTTGGGGAGAAGAATAGTTCTGAACGAGGAATCGGATATACAGCACAGAAAGTGTCTCTATACAGGCCACCCTCGGATGCGATTGATCTTGGATACCATACCCTTGACAATAGTGGTTGCCGTGTACCTTCTTCATCTACTATTACATCCGTACCTACCAGACAACAACCACTATCGCAAACGAAAAGAGCATATGTTACAGGTCTTTATCAACTTGATGATGAGTTGTTATTAAAAATATTTTCCTGGCTAAGTACTAGAGATCGTTGCGCTTTGGCGCAAACTTGTAGACGTCTTTGGGAAATAGCGTGGCATCCATCATTATGGAAGGAAGTTGAAATACAATATCCTCAAAATGCGACTATAGCGTTAAACGCCTTAGCGCAACGAGGATGTCACTCTTGTATTCGCCGGTTGATATTGGAAGGTGCCACGGGTCTTCCTGGAGTCTTTCGACAACTGCCATTTTTAAGTTTAACTTCTCTAATCTTACGTCATTCGCGACGCGTCACGGATGCTAACGTAACTGCCATTTTAGATAATTGCGTGCATTTAAAAGAATTAGATTTAACTGGATGCGTGAGTGTGACTAAAGCATGTAGCCGGATAACATCGTTGCAATTACAGTCGCTTGATCTAAGCGATTGTCACAACATTGAAGATTCTGGATTGGTATTAACGCTCTCTCGTATGCCACAACTTGCGTGTCTTTATCTCCGACGGTGTGTACGTATTACCGATGCAAGTTTTGTCGCTATTGCATCCTATTGCGGAAATTTACGACAATTATCTGTATCCGATTGCGCTAAAATAACAGATTTCGGTGTACGTGAGGTGGCTGCACGTCTTGGTCCATCATTGAGATATTTTTCTGTTGGAAAATGTGACCGTGTGTCCGATGCCGGTCTACTTGTAGTAGCCAGACATTGTTATAAATTACGTTATTTGAATGCACGTGGTTGCGAAGCATTGAGCGATAGCGCCACTTCTGCTTTAGCACGTGGATGTCCACGGCTTAGAGCTCTCGACATTGGAAAATGCGACATTGGTGATGCAACGCTTGAAGCTCTTTCCACCGGTTGTCCTAATTTGAAAAAGCTCTCTCTTTGTGGTTGCGAACGGATCACTGATGCTGGACTGGAAGCATTAGCTTATTACGTGCGTGGTTTAAGACAGTTAAATATCGGAGAATGTCCTAGAGTAACTTGGGTTGGATACCGTGCAGTTAAACGTTATTGTCGCCGATGCGTTATAGAACATACTAATCCTGGTTTCTCCAGTTGATCTATATTTACTTTAATCTCTTGCTTCTACTATCTGCGATATATTTATTAACAAATATCAATTTCACTGCTTAATTAAATATTAATTTATATATATACTGAAATAGATTTGTAAAAATATATTTTGCGTATTGCTTAAAAAACGCATTCGCTATTTATTGTTTTTTTTATATTTTAATACATTATACAAGGGTAATAAAATGTTAAATTTTCTACTTTAATAAATGAATGTCTTATATTTTACTTTTAATAT